CCCCTGTTCAGCATGAAGAAGCCAGAGAGTTGGCATCCAATTCCCAAATTAATAAGACAGTTGGTTTAATTACCATTGGAAAATGCTCGTCACTCCTCTGTAGCATCCGGTCCCCGCTGGACCCTCATCATTTCCTTCACCTGCTCCCCCCACCGACCAAACTGTGCAGCTCTACAGCTGCATCCTGGCCCATCCTCACCCTTCTGCCCCCAACCCTCAACTCCTTGTACCCCCAATATGTTTTTCCAAATAAAAATTAAAAAAAAGAAGTACTGACCTTTTGGATAGATGTCCAACAACATACAGTGCACAATCCAACTAGTGCTCTTTAATATACATCTAGTTTTTACTTATTTACAATTCATTTCATTATTTGCCAATACTCACAATAGTTAAAAATCTACCATGTGACTATTTGTAGACTGATGAAGTATGCCTGGCAGCAAGAAAAACCATCATGGTAGGTATGAATAAAGGTGGTTGTAACAATAAAGATTGTGTAGACAAACAGAAAAACAAAAAGACAAAATAAATGCTGAGCAAGTTCAGTCCTTTTGATTTTCTGACTCCAGCTCCTTACACATAAACTTTGTAAATTTACCTTTTTCCTGCCCCACAGATAATATCTCCTTCTGTCACTTGTAACATATTTTAGCAGATTCCACTTCAGGTTGTAGTTAATCTTTTCTTTACTCTTTATTCTTGCCTTTAGTCATTCCACAAAGACCATTTGTAGAGGCTAACTCTTAAGTCACTTCAAAGTTGGCATTAACTCTGTGAGCAAATAATAGCTAAATATCATGGTCAACATCTGTCAATTCATCAAGAGCCAAGGAAAACCAGTTGTAATAATTTGTCTTGTTTCTTAATTGATGGTCATTGTTGCTCTAAATGTCCCAGCTCTTCAGGCTATGCCAAAAAGCTAATGGTCTTAAGCAAATTTTCTCTGGACACACTTGTTTAGCTGCTGCAGTGAAGTGCAATTTGATTAATCCATCTCCAATAATAATTTTCCATGCTTGGCAAATGAATCACTGGGAAACTTGCTTTGTGAAGAAATTTTCCTCTGAAGAGATACTAAGAGTTTTCTATTTTCCTGACCAGTCCTTTTCCACCAGTTGGAATAAACTGTGAGAAGTGCTTAATTTGGTAAGACCAACACATATTCTTTTAGCATTACTGGTATCATTGCATGATAAACATAATGTTTTGCCATCTAACAAAATAATCCACAATTCACTGCATCTTAAAAGCTTGATATATAAAGTCCATTTTTCTCTTCTTTTTTTTGGTTTTGACATATGAATGTATTGTTATGTGCTACCGAGTTGCCTGTGACTCATAGCAACCCTATGTACAGTAGCTCTCAAGCGTGCACTGTCCTGAGCCAGTCTCACTGACTCCAACACACCTAACCCCATTTGCTCCAGTTACTGTTATCAGTCCATCTCCTGCAGGGTCTTCTTCTCCTGTGCTGTCCTTCCACTCTTCTGAGCATGATGTCCTTCTCTAAGGATCCCTCCCTCCTGGCCACATTCCCAAATTATGTGAGACAGAGCATCAAAATCCTAGTCTCCAAGGAGAAACTTGGCTTAACCCTCTCCAACATAGATCTATTTGTTTTCTTGGCAGTCTATGGTATCTTCAAGACTCTTCCCCAGCACCACAACTCAAAGGCATCAATTCTGCCATCCTTAGTCATTGTCCAGCTCTCTGATGAATAGCAAGTAATTATGAAGGCCATGGCCTAGATCAGGCGCACCTTAGTTTCTAGACTGACATCGTTGCTTCTCAGTACTCTGGAGAGGTCCCTGACAGCAGATTTACCTAATGCAATTTATCTTTTGATTACCTGACTGCTGGTGCTAAAAGTGTTGATTGTGGAGCTGAGCAAGCTGTAACTGTTAACAACCTCAATCTCTTCTCCATCTATCATGGTGCTGCCAACTGGCCCAGTGGTGAGAATCTTTGTCTTCCTGTTGTTGAGCTTCAATCCATATTGAAGACTGAAGTCCTTGATTTTCTGCAGCAAACGCTTCAGGTCTGCCTCAGTTTCAGCAAGCAAGACTAATAAAATATTGCAGAACAGTGGTAAACAACACTTGACATGCTTCTAAGTTATCATGATATCTACTGTACTGAGCAGCAATGATAATGTAATCAGAGTCACATATAGCCTCTGCTGTTACCATTAAACTTTGCCACAGATATATCAGAGACAATATGTAAACTAACAAACATGATCAAATTCATCAACACTAAAATGTAATGCAGCCTGTTGAGAGCTTTTGTTGGTAACTCAAAGGTGGTATCTCTTTCGTGGTTGGCATCTACTCTTTGCTCTGTAGGAGAAAGCTGGAGGATCAGCGATGTGTTGGTTCCAAGGCAATGAGTTTGGGGGAAAAAAGTGAATTTCATATTTTACAAACTACTATCCTTTAAATTTTCTCCCAAGCATTTATAAATATTAAAGTCAATCTTAGCTAAGAAGATATACAGAATCAAACTGTGGGCTTCCCTCACCTCTAGACAATTGCTTTTTGTTTGGCTTTTATACCTGGTGCTATACATCATCAAATGCCCTATTGTAGAAGCAGATAAAGAAGTGGAAAACTCCAGCTCACCTCACTGAACTTTTCTCTGGGATCTTTGTTTCTAGTTTTAGCTAGTATGGCTCATCCCAATGCCTTCAAATCTGCTGGTGTTTATTGTTATCCTGTGCCAACCTCGTTATCTCAAACACATTCATTCCCACCACTCCACTCAAATAATCTGTGAGTGAAATTTACACACGTCTTTAATTTTGTTGTTCTTCCCAGATAATGTATTTCTTTATTAAACAGGTTGTGTTTTGTGGCAATCTTGCATAGAGCAGGTCTATGGAGAAAGTCACCACTGTCCAACTCCTCCAAGTTGTGGGTGACATTGAGAAGAATGGGAATTCCAAAACACTTGATTGTGCTCATGTAGAACCTATACTTGGACCAGGAAGACATCATCAGAACAGAGCAAGAAACGCTGCATGGTTCAGAATCAGAATGAGAGTGCTTCAGGGATGTGTCCTGCCTCCATATCTTTGAAATATCTATATGCAGGAAAGATCATTCAAGAGGTTGAACATTTTTTTTTGAGAGGCTGAACTTCATGAAGAAGAATGTGGCATCAGGATTGGAAAAAGGTTTATCAATTACCTGCATTAGGCAGATGATACAACCTGGCTCACTGAAACTAAAGAGGACTTGAAGTATTTGCTGGAGAACATCAATGACTTCAGTCTTTAATATGGATTGCATCTCAACATCAAGAAAATAAAGATTATCACCACTGGGCCAGTTGATCATAATAGATAGAGAAGAGATTGAGGTTGTTAACAATATCATTTTATTTGGCTCCATAATCAACAAACACTCTTGGCACCAGTAGTCAGGAAATCAAAAGATGAGTGGCTTTGGGAAAGACGACTATCAGAGTACTGAGAAGTAACGATGTCAATCTAGGGACTAAGTTTTGCCATGGTCTTCACAATTACTTGCTATGCATCTAAGATCTGGACAATGACTAAGAATAACAGAAGAATTGATGTCTTTGAGCAGGGGTGCTGGAGAAGAGTATTGAGCAAAACATGAACTGCCAAGAGAACAAACAGATCTGTCTTGGAGAGAACAAGACCAGCTTGCTCCTTGGAGGCAAGGACATTGGAGTTCTTGCTCATATATTTTGGGCATTTTGCCAGGACGGACCAGTCCTTGGAGAAGGACATCATGCTTGTAAGGATAGAGGTTCAGTGCAGGAGTGGGAGACCCTGAATGAGATGAATTGACGCAGTGACTGTGGTAATCGGAGTGTGTCAGAGACAGTGAGATTGGTTCAAGATAGGGCAGGGTTCTGAGATATTGTTCATAGGGTCATTATGAGTAGCAGGTGACTTGAGGGCACATAACAACAGTAATAGCAACAACATGGGGAGAGTCAACTATTTTCCCAACAGTATGTGCTCACTTCATGCCTATCTCATTCTGGTAATTCTCAAACATTTTTGGGTAATCTTTCAAACTTTTTCACAATGTTATGGAATACTAATTGACATGTTTCAACAAACAGATGCAGCCCTGGATATGCTCACCAGTCTATGCCAAGAAATTTAGAAGACAGCTACCTGGCTAAGTGACTGGAAGAGATCTATATTTGTTTTGATTTTTAAAAAAAGTAATCCAATAGAAAGTGGAATTTGTTGAACATATTGTTAATATCACATGCAAGAAAACTATTGCTGAAGATTATTAAAAACCAGCAAGAACAGTAGTACATGGACAGGGAACTTCCAGAAATTCAAACTGGATTCACAAGAGGCTGTGACACCAGCGATATCATTGCTGATATCAAACAGATCTTAGTTGAAAGCAGAGAACATCAGAAGGATGTATAGTTGTGTTTTATTGACTATGAAAAGACATTTGCCTGTGTGGACCATAACAAATTATGGCTAATGTTGAGAAGAATGGGAATCTCAGAACACTTAATTGTGCTTATGTGAAATCTACATCTAGACCAAGAAGCTTCTGTCCAAACAGAGTGGGCAAACAATGCATGGTTTAAAATTAAGAGGTGGGCATTAAGGGTATATATCCTTTCTCCATACCTCTTCAATTTGTATGATGAGCCAATCATATGAGACTATATGAAGAATGTGGCATAAGGATCAATGGAAAACTTATCAACAACCTGCATTATACAGATGACACACCTCGCTTGCTGAAAGTTAAGGGGACTTGAAACACTTGCTAAAGAAGATCAAAGACTACAGGCTTCAATATGGATTACAACACAACATCCAGAAAGACAAAAATCCTCACCACTGCGCAACATCATGATTGATGGAGTATGAAATTGTCAATAATTTAATCTTACTTGGATCTACAATCAATAACCCTGGTACGAGCAATCAAGAAATCAAAATACTTTTTGCACTGGAGAAATCTGATGCCAAGGACCTCTCCAAAATATGTTAGCTTGAGAACCAAGGTGCACATGTTCCAGACAATAGTCTTTTCAATTACTTGTTATGCATCTAAAAGTTGGACATTGACAAAAGATGACAGAAGAATTCCTGTCATTTTGCTGTGGTGTTGGGAAAGAGTACTGAATATTCTGTGGATTACCAAAAGAAAAAACAAATAGGTCTCAGACAAAGTGAACCCCGAGGAAGTAGTCCTTAGAGGCAAGAATCATGAAACTTCATCTCACATACTTTGGGCATGTAAAGAGAAGCCAGTTCTTGCAGAAAGAAAGACATCATGCTTGGGAAGGTGGAGAGTCAAAATAAGAGAAGAGACTCTTATCAAGATGGTTTGATCCAGTTACTGTAACAATCATTGTTGTTGGTGTTAGGTGCTCACAGTGACCCTATGAACAAAAGATCTGAACCTGGTCCTGTCCTGTGCCATCCTCACACTTCCTGACTCACAACAGCCCACTGCAGCAGTCACCGTATCAATCCACCTGGTTGAAGGTCTGTCTTCTTCTACTTCACTGACCTTCCACCATTCCCAGCATCATGTTCTCCAAGGAATAGCCCCTCCTAGAAATATGTCCAAAGTATGTGAGGTGGCACCTCATCCTTTTTGCCTCCAAAGAGCAGTCTGGCTGTTTGTTCTCTTTGCTGTCCATGGGATGTTCAGGGCTCTTTACCAACACCACAGCTCAAAGATGTCAATTATTTCCTTGTCATTCGTATTCATTGTCCAGCTCTCAGATGCATAGCAAGTAATAGACTGCGGCCTGAATCAGACACACCTTACATCATTGTTGTTACGTGCCGTCGAGTCGCTTGCAACTCATAGCGACCCTATGTACAACAGCCCTAAATCCTGCTCTATCCTATGCCAATCGCATTGCCTCTGACACACCCATCCCGATTACCCCAGTCACTGAATCAATCCACCTCATAGAGTGTCTTCCCCTCCTGCGCTGTCCCTCCACCCTACCAAGCACGATGTCCCTCTCCAAGGACCTGTCTCTCCTTACAACATGCTCAAAGTATGTCAGACGAAGCCCCAGAATCCTTGCCTCCAAGGAGCAGCCTGGTTTAACCCTCTCCAGGATGAATCTGTTTTCTTGGCAGTCCATGGTACATTCAATACTCTTCTCCAGCACCACAGCTCAAAGGAGTCAATTCTCCTTCTATCCTCCCTAGTCATTGTCCAACTCTGATGGATAACAAGTGATTGCAAAGACCATGTCCTGTATCAGACGCACCTTAGTCTTCAGAGACATACCGTTGCTCTTGAGTACTTTAGAGAGGTCCGTAACAGCAGACTTTCCCATCGCAATACGTTTTTTGATTTCCTGGCTGCTGGTGCCAAGAGTGTTGACCATGGAGCCAAGCAAACTGAAGCTGTGAACAATCTCAATCTCTTTGCCACCCATCCTGATGCTGCCAGTTGGTCCAGTGGTGAGAATCTTTGTCTTCTTGACACTGAGCCTCAGTCCATACTGAAGGTTGCAGTCCTTGACCCTCTGCAGCAAGTGCTTCGGGTCCTCCTCAGTTTCAGCAAGCAGGGTTGTGTCATCTGCATAACACAGATTGTTAATAGATCTTCCACCAATCCTGATGTCACACTTCTCCTCATAGAGCCCAGCCTTATGGATAATCTGCTCTGCATACAGGTTGAAAAGGTATGGAGATAGGACACATGCCTGGCGTACACCCTACCCAATTTTGAACCATGCAGTGTTTCCCTGCTCTGTTCTGACAACTGCCTCTTGGTCCAAGTATAGGTTTCGCATTAGCACGATTAAATGTTCTGGGATTCCCATTCTTCTCAGAGTCAGCCACAGTTTTACATCATTACTCCTCAAAAATTTATAAAGGTCCCTGTCTGCAGATGTTCCCAATGCAATGCATCTCCTTATTTCCTGACTGCTGGTACCAAGGGTGTTAATTGTGGATCCAAGCATGATGAAGCTGCTGACAGTTTCAATTCCCTCTACATTCAATGGGTTTGGCCATAAAAGAGGTAGTTAGTTAGAACGGAGCAGGATAGAGCAAGGGTCAGATCTGTTGTTCATTGGGTCACTATGAGTTGTAGTTGAACTGATGGCATATAACAAGTAACATTTTAAATTGTTTTCAAGTTCTAATGTTTTCAACACATTTCTTCCCCCCCCAACACATTTCTAGATGTTTATTTATGCGCTTGGTTATTTCCTTAATAAAAAAAAAAATCCTAGAAACACCTTCCCAAGTCAAAGGGTTTTACACTTTTAAAGGTTTTTATAGATCTTGCCAAACTTTCCTTCAGAAATGTTACATACACAATGACACACCTAGTAGCTATAAGTGTTTCTCTGCACAGGGGCCAATGCTGGGTGTTACCATTTTTTTTTTTTACCTTTGCCAATCTGATCGAGGGAAAATAGTATCTCTATGTTGTTTAATTTGCATTTCTATGAGGTTGAAAGGTGTGGTTGGGGATGATGGTGTACATAAATATGTTCATGACCTAGTCCCTGGAACCTGTAAATGTTACTGTGTAAGGACAAGTGTTTGTTGCCAATGTGAATTAAGTTAAGGATCATGCTATGGGGAGATTATCTTGGATTATCTCCATGGGCCTTAAATCCATCACAAGTTTTCCTTAAGAGGGAGATTTGACACAGGCAGAAGACAATGTGACCACAGAGGCTGACTGGGAGTGATATGGCCACAAATTAAGGAATAGTTGCCTCTCTGCTGACCCTTTGCTTTCTCTTGGTGAAACAGATTACTGACTCTTGACTTTTAAGCACTCTGAGAGGATAGTTTGTGTGGATTTGTTACAGCAGCACAAAAAGACTTTTTACTTTTTTAACAAAAGAGGTCCCAGGAAAAGCAGCTGGTTTTAAAAGCAACATCACAGCTCATTGCATTGCTGACCCAAAGGGGGAGCCTCTCTCGAATCTGGAATCCCAGCAGGGGCTCTGGGAGCAAGATGGGTCATTTCCTCCCATGTGATTTACAGCCTCTGAAAACACACTGGAGGCTCAGCTATGGATAGTTTCTGCCTGGATGGCGCCTATTACCAGCAGTATATACACAACCGTACAGGTAAAATTTTTGGTCGTGGTTAGCTGGGAAAGAGTAAAGATCCTCTTTACTTCCCGTGTTCTGGGAGAAAAGAGAATTTTCACTTTTTACTCAAATGCCATCTATATTGTTTGGAAAAGTTTTATGGAACTATTGTGCTAAAAAAATAGAAAGATTAGTTGTTGTCAACAATGAAATATATTAGTTCCTTTCTTCTGACCCCATGCTCCTTCTCAGAAACATTCACTCATAATAAGTTTGTTGTTTGCAATGTGTTAGGTTATTTTTCTCAAGCAAGCAGCATATATGCACGTAACTTAAAAAAAAAAAAAAAGTAGGATGGTGCACTGTTTCATTTACCATTCCTCAAAAACTCGTGTAGGGTGTCGCTGTGAGAGGGTCTCACAGAATCACACTATGTGGGAGATGCGGACCTGCTCCTAGCGAGCCCTCCGTGTCCATGTGACCATCCCGGTGGCCAGCATCTCCGGAGAAAACGCCTCGCTCAGGTACGTAAGTCTGAGAAGGTCCCCCAACTGCACTGCAGGCTGCTTTAAAAAGTCGGGTTCTCCCAGCACTAACTAGCTGCTGCTTAGGACACTGGGCACGACTCCCTTTATCGACTTTTAGGGTGGCGAGCTAGTCTCTGAGAACATCCCTCCGGGCGCGCGGTAGCTGGGCCCTTCCACGTGTGTCCTGGCCACCGCACAGCGAACGGCCCCCGGCTCCCGGGTGGGCTCCCCCGCCCTGGCAACGAACTCGAATCCAACGGACTCTTCCAACCTAAGGCGCGCGATTTAACTAGTCCCATGTCGGGGGCGGGGTGGCAAGGAATCTCCAGGAACTCTCGGCACACCTGGAAGGAAGTGGAAAACCTGAGCAGGGGGTGTCGGGACCCCACAGGAAAAGAAGCATATGAAGGAGTGCCATCCACTTCCCCTCTCCATCCGCCTCCCGCTGGGGGCCAGGCGGTGGCCGAGGCTCTCCCGCTGGGCAAGGCCGCCGTGCGCACCGTGGTGGGGGTGAGGACTGTCGCCAAGTTGGGGGCTTTCTGGAGAGTCGGGGGCGCGGCGCGCGCAGCGGGAGGCGCGGGGC